CTTCATAATTTATCACATTAACATTATGACTTAAGACTAGATTTTTGCCTATATCCCATTTATAACTATGAGAATAAATGAGGCCATGCGTGGCGAAAAAAAGAATTTCTGAATGCAAGATATAATACCGAACACAAAGAATGTGCCCATTTAGATAAGTCTGACGTATCCAAAAAAATCTGATCTTGAATAATTAAATGAAAATTTCCAACTGATAAAGGCCGCAACGAGTTGGCGTTTAAACGCAAGCTAACGCAAAATTTTCCGATTAGCGGCACTTTCAGCTGAAACCTCTCACTGTTTCTTCGTTAGTGGCGCTGCTATCGGATTACTTTCAGCGGAACAAAAAAATATTCCCAGCAAATTAACGACTAGATGAGCCTTTTTTTCAGTAAGGTGCCCATCCCTGCTAAAAACCTGACGATTTACTGCAGCTTAGCAGCAGTAGCGATTAATCGTAATCGTCTTTACTGATATTGTGTTCAATGTTATCAAGGTTTTATAACTTATCGTTGAACTCTCACCATAAAAGCTCTTGAATAGTTAGTTCGATTTGCTTCCAATGTTGCATTTCAATTTGATAATTTTCACCGTTTTTTGCTCTCTATTCTACGATAACACACAACTTCAGTAGTTCCTGTGTACGAGAAATTCCGAAATTCATTCCAAACGTTTCACGTCTGCAATATCTTCGCTATGTAGAATCTCATATGGTGATCACATTATCGAAATTTTATTCAATTGCAATTTTACATTATATCGAGAGGTCGATTGTTTACTGATCTCATAGAATGGTTGTTGAGAGTGATATTCATATTGCGATTTCAATAAATTCTTCGAAAAAGTTGAACAATGTGAAAAAACATTCTTAAACGATATTGAGTGAATATTCTCTCATCGATACCTGCAAGTGGCTGTCTGACTGGTTTTTCTGTTAGCTATCAATATATGAGCATTTCAATCGATAAATCGACGAGATAAAAGAACAACGAATATCAATTCGAACATTATTCCACTACGAGAATTACTATGAAGAGGCGATAGCTCAGTGGAAAAATATCACAATAGAGTGTGGAGATACGTGCAGATCTAGGATCACGAATGTGACGGCTTAACAACATTGAAATAGATAACTTACTCAAATTGAACACACAAAAATAAACTTGTAAGCGTTGTTGGTGCATCCCAATCATATGAACACTACGTGAACACGAACATTTTGATTGTTTATCGTGAAAAGAACTTGAACTGAGCGCATTCGAAGAATGGCAATGGATCCAACACGTATCGCAGGCGAAATCATCAGACTTTCGGGTATCACATGTCTATATTCCAATATTTCAATTTTTTCTTACGATTAGCGATTCTATTAAATTTCGATTTTTCCTTACGATTAGCGACTAATTAGCGATTAATAAGAGCGCACTTCTTCAGTTCGGTTTTTCTGTGAGTGCGCTCCAACTCTTTTAATTTATAAGTTTATGATTTTTTTCTGACTTTTTTTACCATTCATTGTGATGCTGATGGAATTTTTACGTTCTATAATGCCCGTTGGAATGCCGATTTGATTCGAAACTTCATCTTCCTTTTTTCTTTGCGTTATTCCAAAAGAATCATTTATTTATTCATTGCTTTCCAAATAATTTCCCTTCTTACTCACCGTCAGAACACTGACTTACGATCTGTCGATTCAGCAAAACTTTCTGATCCACAAGACATATGTCTGCTGCCAGATAATCGAGTGGCTATAGCCGATCAAGACTGTGGTGTGTTCATTGTTGATAAGAGTGGTCACTTGCTAAAGAGTTTTGATCAGCTGGTTGGATCAGCATCGCTCTGCTACAGCGAAGTGTAACTTATATACGCTTTACTTTAACATATATTGTCTGGAGACCGTTCCTGAAGAATTTTATCGCATAAAATCAAAACTTCATTCATACTCTTTCGTAACTTTCACCTTCATTACTTGAAACAAATGTTTGTGTGTATGTGGTATGGAAATGATCATCTGTTTTCAAATTTAGCTTTATGACTGGATATATGAGATAATATTCGTGTATCTTGTAGCTTGTAGAAGTGAAATTACCAATATCCTTTCGAAAACGCATCTGCTCAAAATAGAAAGTCAAGTGCTTTTGGCTGATCTGAATAAGCACTGCTGCTGATATCGTTCTATTTTTGTGTCAACTCTGCAGACTCAATCGACTGGCCGTGGTTCGATCAAATGAGGATGTTGACGCTGAAGATAGCAGATATCAGATTTGTGTGATCGGTTCGGATTTGGAGCTTGAAACAGAACGGATCAAAATACCGAACATACCGGACGTGAAAGAAGGCTATACGAGATGGATTATTGCCGAACCTGAGTCGGGTAATTTTCTGGTAACGACTGGTGATAGTTCAACGGCGGTGATTTGGATGTGGAATGTGAAAACGTGCGTATGACAATTTGGTATTCCGCTACCAAATAACTGATTATCGTATCGTGAATTCTCTTTTATTTTGCTTTTTGTTTTGAGTTTGAGATTGCACAAAGTCGTATCTCTATTTTTACCGATATTTTTGGTGAATTTTTCAATAATGGTACTGATTATTTATGATAGGTGAATAGATGTACGTTCATGATTAAAAAACAACCAAACTTTCCATTAAACGAACTAATTTTGAATCATTGTATCCTTTTATTCGAG